ACATCCTCCATCACCCACAATATCTGACTTGTCCTCCTTATCCCTAAAGAGAAAGGAAATCAAGGTCTAATGCCCCATCATGGAACTATTTGTTCTGAGCCTTATCTTCATGAAGACCTTTCAATCTCTATTTTAAAAACATTACCTGCAGATAACATCATGTAGTTCTAGAGATGAAGTGTCAACAACCTCACAAGTTTGATAACCCTGTTTTAGCGATTTAAGATGCAGAGGGTCTCCTATCCCCACCTGTAGAGGTAGTCCAGACCTCTCAATTTCTGTGGTTTCTGGGGGCCATTCAAAAGTCAGGAACCAAGTAACAGCTGTTGTACCTGCCATCGTGGACCTGTGCTGAGACTGGAGAAAGACATGACCAAGGCCACCGAGCAGACTGGTAACTACCATTTTCCTGGGGAAGGGAGAAAATGATGAGAAGCCATGTTGAGGGGTGCTTTCGGGCCTCACTTTCACCAAAGGGATTGAATTTTCACAATATGCCAGTATCGTAACTGGCGTAGGTCACTGACCCCTTTCCATCAGGTGCAAGTTAGCACAATCAAGGAAGGGACAGAGGATCCTGTGAGAGGCTAACCAGGAAGGGGAGGCGGTGGGAATCACCAGCAGAGCTCACAGCGGTGCTCTGGAATAGACACTACACAATCAGCCTCAGTGCAAGGAAGCATAGTCACGCCTTAAGATTTAATTACCTCCAAAACAGCACAACTGGGATGAATCATGCTCAGCTACTGAGTAACAAAGATGAGTAACAAGCTATCCAGACTGGAAACTCTGTCCTTTCATAGTAAGCAATAAATCTTCTTATCCATGTGCCCCTGAGGTAAACCCAGGGCCTTTGTCTCCCTGAAATGTCTCATTTCTCCATTTTGTCAAACACATTCCACCTTGCTCATTAGTGTCAGCCTTGTAATCCACGGGTACTTCCCAGGGTCCAACTGATAACAAGGTAGCCACTGTTAATTGTGTTCCCTTTGATGAAAATAGCACTCCATGTAAACGCTACTTCAGAGCATGCTAGAAAATAAAGACAGGTATCATGGGCACATCCTGCTAATGACAGAGTGGAGAGCTGGGATAGACATGTATAGGGAAAAAATATTTTGTCAATGGCCTTTTCAATGTCCAGATTCTGAGTAACTGATGATCCAGCAATGTTTCTTATTAGAGTAATTAACAATTACATGTGAGTATATGCATGTATGTACACGTGTCCTCTTTGGAGTATGTTTGACGATGTACTGAGAAATGCAGCTCCCAGGAGATGTAGAGAAGGGAGAGGGAAAACTTTTTGAAGAAGGAGGAAGACTTCCGTGAGCTCCGTGGGAGATCAGTGGGAGTTCTCATGGTCAGTAAGGTTGCCAGATAAAATAAAGATAGCAAACTAATTTTGGATCTTAGGTCAATGGGAGGAAGGGTTTTCTCTTAGTGCAGGTATGTCTGAAGTATCGCAGGCATACTCCTTAGGTTTATTTGCTAAATCAGGCAATCTTGATAGCCAGTGAGAAGAGGGCAAGCATGCCAACCACCTTTCTTCTTTGTCATGAATACTACCAATATTAGCACAAACTGACATTCAGAGCACCTGCAGAATGAGGTCCACCCACAGTTACATGCCTGTAATTGTAAGTTCTTTGACATCATGTATTCCTCCTTCTACAGGAACTGGGTACTGTGCCAAACACTTCAAATAAAGTTAGAATCTGTAAGTAAACAAGATGAATGGCAACAAAGGGAGGGGATGTGCAAGGGAGAGCACTTAAAAATAACAAAGCCACTCATAGTGGGAAAAAAAAAAACCCACAGGACTTCACATCTATTGAAATCTTCACCTATAGGAAGAAATGCCTTAATGTAGCAAGGCAACTGCACAGTGACTAAAGTGTCCTAAACAAGTGCAAGGTATACTGAGCACTGTAGTAAACTGAAGTGCTTGGAGAGGAATGCCTTAAATTGGAGATCAACACTTATACAGTCATTTACTTCAAAAACGTATAATTAAGGAAGGCAGGACCTTGCACAAGCCCCAAATGATAGGCATCTCTAACCGGAACTGCTTGAAATAGAAGTTTTAGGTGGGAATGATAGCTTTGTAAGAAAGCAGGACCCCCAAAGGTGCTTCGCACTCGATTGACACTGTGTGCACATGTGTCATCACAGATGTTTGTAGATATGCACAGATGTGTTTCTATGTAAAAAGCTACAAGGCCAGTACACTGAGCTCCCATATAATTCTACGTTGTCCCTAGCAATAGCACTGTGTCTGAGACTTAGGGAAATTCACATGTTCTTTTTAAGTAGAAATGCTTAAGTTGATTCTGTTTTACTTTCTCTTAAAGATGTTTGCTTAAAAAAAAAAAAAAAGAAAAGAAAAGAAAAAGAATAAACTTGCTGACCACAGAAAACTTAATAAAATGGGCCAATAAAAATCACTCATTTTTCCAGTCAGAGATAAGGCACAAAAATTTTAGGATATATATACTTCAAGTTTCTTCTTTTCTGTCCAAGTTTGCAAATACCAACATTTAACAAAACAAAACTAGATTCCATCCTACCCAGTAGTTTGTTTTTTGTTTGTTTGTGGTTTGTCACTGTTGTTGTAGTGGTGGTGGTGGTTTTGTTTTGTTTTCCAAGACTGGGTTTCTCTGTGGAGATCCAGCTGTCCTGGTACTCGCACTGTGACCAGGTTGACCAGACTCACAGATCCACCTGCCTCTGCCTCCTGAGTGCCATGATTAAAGTCGGGTATTATCACCACCAGACCAAGAAAGTTTCTTTTAAGAAACCAAATATAGTCACCCAAGTGACCAAATATATTCCCAAACATAACTTTTAGTGTTTGTACAAAAATTCTCTACTGATGCTTTTCTTAACCAAGTGCTTATTACATTCGTTTAACAACCAAGTCATAATGACATCATCATTCTTTGGGCAAGAGGATGAAGAAACCCTAAGAGAAAGAGTTACTGACAAATGATTAAAATTAATGTATAGTCTCATATAAAGAGCCCCTTTTCCTGATTTTGTTTTGTTTTGTTTTGTTTTGACAATCAGTTATGCAGAGAAACTGTCTGTGAAATTAGAATGTATACAGAAAAAGTACAAAGAGGAATATCTGCAATATTTCCTGTTTTCAATAACCCAGTCCATAGCCAACCGTTTAAGAAAGCCATCCACAATTAGCTTTTGACACAACCAAATGATTAAGAAGGATTTTTAAGCCAGAAAAGTCAGAGTTTCAATCACAGTGTACTATTGTAGAACTCTAGTGCTTCCCATTTCAATAGGATGTCATTGAAAACTCATTAATTTCCTTTTTTTTTTTTTATACAAAAGTAAGAAAATAAGCTAGGGTCTTTTAAAGTCATACTATTTTACTTCTGCAAAAAAGGAATCCATAGCTGGGCGTTGGTGGTGCACGCCTTTGACCCCAGCACTTGAGAGGCAGAGGCAGTCGTCGGATCTCTGTGAGTTCAAGGCCAGCCTGGTCTAGAGAGCTAGTTCCAGGATAGGCTCCAAAGCAATAGAGAATGCTTGTCTCAAAACACAAAACAAACAAACAAACAAAAAAAAAAAAAAAGGAGAAAGAAAAAGAAAAGAATCCATTTGATCACACCATAATACAAAGAAGATAAATTTGGTCAAACAAAGTAAGCACCATTGATGGCAGACCATCATAGCATGTTCATAGCAACCTAGGGATGAGTTAGCTAGCTGAAATGAGTGGCCTTCTACTCAAATGCCTTATGGGTGAAAAACAAGCAAAACAAACAAAATACTTCACAGATTCCAGAACCACAAAGTAAGAAAGGAAGAGAATGAAGTTTTTAAATACTATATCTAATCTAAATCTGTATCTAAACTGTATAAAAAAGGAATTGCATGACACTACAACAGAGAAACTAATGAAGCAGAAAAAATATTCTCAAGAATACAACCCACCATAAGACTGCTAAGGTGTAGGTATATGAAATGCAACCTAGGGATGAATATGATAGTTGTGAAATATTAATTTCTGCCAACAGAAAACTAAGACAGCTTCATCCTATATTTTCTATGCTTAGTTTACAAATTCAACTCATCATCCCTTTTGAGATCCACAACAATGAAGAAAAAGGAAAGAAAATGTCTAAATACAAAAGCTTAACTTGTCAAGATTGGGAAAAGCTAAATTTTGTTATTGCTAGTGAAGTAGTCATCAGTAGTCACAGTCATTAGGTTAATGACTAAGTCAGCTAAAATAGGATCAGGTACAAAAATGCAGTTTTCAGAAGAATCATTTCGTCTTTGATATGAGTTGAGTGATTTATTTTTTGTAGTGTTGGGAACTGAACTTGGGGCCTTACACATGCTTAGCAAACATCCTACAACTAAGCTACTCCCCAATATCTGTGTATCAGTTTTGTTATGAGTCAGTCTTTGCTGCTGGGATGGGTCAGCTGGGAACCTAAAGTAATGCTTTGCTCACTTAGAAAAGAATGCCTGGAGGCAAAAGACTTGGAATCTAAATGAGGGAAGCCCTCCCACTGAAGATAAACAGGTATATAAGCCCATGAAAGAGTAGGTAAAACATGACTATCAATCTTGAGAGTTAGATTTTTTTTTTACTTTGGAAAAAATACTGAGCATCAAGGCTGAGATGACTCCAGAGCGTTTACGACCAGTGGTCCTTGTGGTCCTATTCATTATGCCCATCCAATCTCTGAACTGTGTTCTTCTGGATAATGCCACCTTGGAAAGTGTGAAACTTCTGAGAGGCATCATCCACTCTCCCCTAAAATGTCTAAAAGAAATCAAGAATTTTGAGTTTCCTAAAGAAATTCTCCCATGCATCCAGCCTGTGAAAAGGAATGTGAAGGAGGCCTTCAGTATTATATCTTTCCAAGCACTGAATATTTTCTTCAGTCAGAATAACCACACCTCCCCTGTGACAGCGGAGCGCCTACACTACATCCGAATGGTACTTTATGAGCAAATATATCGAGCGCAGCACTGCTTTATGGATGAGGATAAAGAGAACAAGGAGGGGGACAATAAGCCAGAACACCCCCAACCAAAGTGCTGCCAGGAGGTCTACCTGGAATTGAACAAGTATTTCAACAGAATCAAGATGTTCCTGGAGGATAAGAAATACAGTGTCTGTGCCTGGAAGATTGTCGCAGCAGAAATAAGAAGATGTTTCATGATATTTTACAACTTCAAAAAACTACTCAAGATACAATCAGGTATGTTTTTAGAATTATGTTTCTCTCCATAGTTCCCTCCTTCATCTTAAGCATGCCTAGGCTCTACATGATGTGCCTGTATCTTCATTCAGTTAGACTGCTCCTCCATGTAAGGTTTGCTGTCTCCAAGGCCCATCCACCTCATGGCAATGATAGCCATGTTAATCAGCGCCCGTGACCCCAGGGATTTCTTTAGAAAGTACTGAAGACAGGTTGAAAGGAATAAGGTTTCCCTTCCATCTTCTCTTTCTTCTACTTCCTTTGCCCATTTTCTATTGGCTTTCCTCTATCATCTAAGAAAGTTACCAAGACAGTAGTTAGCACATAGGGAGCATAGGAGGTTGGAGAAGGCAACATTAATACAAATCATCTCTCAGGCTGCCAAGGTATTCACCACATTAGCAATCTATATACCCAATCTATAGACTCAAAACTTTTTCTTTTCTTTTTTTTTTTTTTTTTTTTCTTTTTTTTTTTTTTTTTAACCACCTCCTCTCTAGAGGAAAAAAAGAAATGATGTAGAGATCGTTTATCAGTTTGGCTTTGAAATGATCCAGTTTAAGAATGGTAAGTTGTTGCTGCAAAAGTCAAGGTCCAAAGTGAAATTTGGATGGATAGTTGAATCAGTTAAGGCTGCTTAGTTTTTGAGAGCCGGTGACTCTAACTCATCAGCACATGCACTATACCTAGAGGATATTGTTTATTTCTACATCTAAAGGTAAAGAAAAGGCTACATACAGATAGAGCTCAGTGGTAGGTTGTGCTTGTCTAGCATGCATAAGGCACTTGGATCGAATCCTCAGAACTGCAGTGGGGCTTAGAGGAAGCCATAGAAAATGCTGGAGAAATTAGTGAGTCTCTCGTAGTGGGTGATTTTCTTCCTGTGTGCACCTATGATTATCTAGAGTCATATAATGGGAGAATTTTGCATTCGTGTTTTGATTTTCCCAGTTGGAAAGCTACTTGCTGTCAGTTAAGTAAATTAGCCATTCTAATAACACTTGGTAGTTTAATCACTTTTATCTTTTTAAAGTTATTTTGTGTCCAGACTGCCTAGATGGTTTACTTTTCTGTGCTTATCCACCATCTGACTAAATGAATTTTCTCCTTCTCCCCCCTCATATTTCAGAATCACCCATCTTCACACAAGAAGTTAGAAACTGCTCAAATGCACTCAAGAACCCTCTCTGCTAAGGCTATTACCAACATGACGCTGAACTCCAGACTCAACACTTTCCAAGTGCAAAGTTCAAGACGGTACACTCAAACAAAGTCCTATGGTAAAACAAAGACAAATTCCCGTGAAAATGTTATAAGAAATGTTAAATTCAAAAGACAAAACAAGTTGTGGATTATTATGACATTTAGGTTACCAGCAAAAGAATCAGAGAATAAAATGAGTTAATACAATTTATTTGGTGTAACAGCTCATCAATAATATCATTTTAGACTAGGATCATGGCAGTGGGGAGGGATGCAGGATATGCAACTGCAAAGCAGCATACACAGTATTTTCCATTCATTTCTCTGACTCCTTGCCTGACCTGTGTGACAGCTCTACCGAGATGGCAGCAGCTGCTGTAGGAAATTATAGCTGCTGCCCTGGCCTGGCCCAGTCCAGCCCTGTGTTTGCTCTGTGCCAGGGAAGAGAATTGGCTAAGTGCAATGGTAATGCAGTTGAGTGGTAGAGCATATGCCCAGTTGTGTGAGGCCCAACCCTTCAGGAAAATAAGGAGAAGAGGAGAAAGAAGTGGCCAAGAAAATGCAACATTTTCCAGTCAGGACAGACTGCTTGACAGAGAAGGACAGAAGTCAGAACCACAATCTTCTCACAGAGTACATGTTATCAAAAAAGAACAATCCCACCAAAAAGTAAGGACACAAACAACATTTAAAAAAAGTTAGTAAACAGTATAAAAAGTGTTCCTCACTTTTGGTTTAAAAAGGGCTCAACAAATCCAAATATTAGATGGTATCTTGATCTCCTGAGTAATATATATACACACACACACACACACACACACACACACACACATATATTACTGAGATCAACTAATGTATTGTGGTATTATGGCACCACATGGTGATTTCAGTCACTAAGGTTTGAGGCTTCTAATAGCATCATTTAAAGCTGTAACTGAGCTCTACTGCCAAAAGAAATGGAGTAACATTACAATCAACCAAGTAAAGTAATATGCCTGCTGCTTAATGACTTGAATAAAGACACTTAAACCCCCCAAAACTGCTCAATAAGGCAGTGATAAATATCCCTTACCCCTATTAACACAACAGAAATGGAAAACAAGGGTAACGCTGAGGGTGAGTAGAATCTAGATTCTCTTATATATTGCTGGGGACAGGAAAAACTGTCATGTGCTTACTATGGGCAGTATTGCAATCTTCAATAACCTAAAAGTGCTTAATTTTTCCTTTTCTTTTTCTTTTTTGGTTTTTCGAGACAGGCTTTCTCTGTGACTTTGGAGGCTGTCCTGGAATTTGATGTTGTAGACCAGGCTGGTCTCAAACTCACAGAGATTGGCCTGCCTCTGCCTTCCGAGTGCTGGATTTAAGGCGTGTACCACCACTGCCTGGCTAAGTGCTTCAATCTTGCTATGTCTCAAGAAACATATTCCAAGGAAATAATTGGGTAACATTGCTGTGCACTGGAGCTTGGCATACATAGTTTTAACCTTTCACCTGTGGATTTTTCTATTTTTCCTACGTTAAGTTTTTGGAGAAGTCTTTTGGTTCTAAAATTAAGAAAACTGAACACATTTATTTCCCTCTATAATGACTGTGTTTTCCTTCCGGGCAAGCTGGACCAAGCCCTGATTTTAACTTTAATGATACCTTTCTGGTACTACCTGAGCTAACAGCAGGCCTTCGGCAGGTCCTTTTTGTTACTCTGCTGCTACTGTTAAACCTCAAAGAAATTTCCCCTTGTGGGCCCCTACCTTTATGAACGTTTAGAAAGTGTGCTGAGCACTTCAGAAATTTGCTGGTTTTCTTTTCGGGGGACCCACTGGCAAGATCTAGAAACCGCGGTAAGTTTCTCCATATAGTCTCTCTTGAGTTAACAGTCTCTCAAAGAACTCTTCCGTTAGTAACGGGCAAACCAGAACTTAAAAGATCTGAAAGAGGGCTGGGGTGTATGTAGCTCAATACAAAACATGGCTTAACATGCTGAGGTCCCATGCTGAGGCCTCAAACAGAGTAAGGGCTTTGGACAGGTACACAGATCACAGGTATATAAGCCTCCTTCCTCCCCTGAGTTGGAGAGAGGAGGGGTCAAAACTTGGAAGCCAGAAAATCACATCTCAGCTAAGGTTAGGAATCGCACAGAAAAAAATGGCAACTACAAGGCTAGCAAGGGGCACCGGTCCCAACAGATGCATACAATCAAGCCTGCTCTAGTTGACCCTTGGGAAACCATTCTGTCCTGGTTCCTCCCGGCTGTGGGAGGCAACCTACCTTCCCTGCCTCCTTCCTTCCTTCCTTCCTCCCTCCCTCCCTTCTTTCCTTCCTTCCTTCCTCCCTCCCTCACACCCTCCCTTCCTTCCACTCTCCCTCTCCCCCTCTTGCTTCCTTCCTTCCTCTTTATTTATTTATTCTTTGTGATTTTTCACATCATGCATCTCGATCCTATTCATCTCCCTGCCCCTTCAAGATTTCAAGATTTCTTAATAATCCACACTCTCCAACAGCACTATGGGAAACGGACCTCCTATAGTCTAACAGGCGCCCCGGTCTGGAGAATCAGGGCCTACCCCAAACCACCTGTTCTCTTGCCACATCTGCCATTAGTACTGCGTAGTCGTGGCCTGCTTTTTCTACACCGATGGGAGGAATTTGGAACTTAAACTTGGAGCTTTCACAGGTAGCCACGACACCACTATTTCCAGGCAGTCTTTAGCCTTCCCAGGTTATCTCAGTTTCTACTCATCCGTGGCCAATGGCCTGCCCCTAGAGAATCTACCACCCCTAACTTTCCGTCCAGATGAAGTGGCTGCCTGCGCCTATCGCCCTGGTTGTGGGCCATCCACGCGCGCTTAGCTGGAAGTCCTTTGGACAGTCTCGCAGATCTCCTGGCTTTCGAGAACTTAGCTTCTATTCCCTCGACCCTACACCCTTCTCGGATTCGCTGGGGATAAGATCTGAGAAATGCGCCTTGGGCCACAAGCTGCCTAGGAGGCGGGGTTAGGGAACAACTTTCCCTCCGCCCTCTAACCGCAAACCCCGGGTGGGGCGGCCTAGCCCTGTCCTCCCCCTGCTTCGCCAACGGGGATCTCTGACCCGAGTCCGCGCAAAGGCCGTCGTGGAGGCCTGCGAGCGGCGAAGGAGTCTTTCCTCTCGGCTGCAGCCCCACCAGATGTTAGAGGCGCAACAACAGTGGAACCGCGCACTAACAAAAGGCCATTCACCGGAGAGATGAGAATGGCTCTGTCGCCGTCTCCACGGGGAAGACTTACAGAGGAGTCTGGAAGGGGGTTGAGGGGGAATCCGGAATGGTCCAGAGCCTCTGACACGCTCCAGGAGACGGGAGCCGCTCTTTACCACTAACGACCCAACCCTGGGGGTCCGTGCAGGGGAGGAGAAATAAGCAAAGTTTTAGTTTTCACCTTCTCTAGTGCAGGAAAGGGAGGGGCTGCGACTCCAGATGTTTGACAGTTGTTAGCTCAAAAATTGAGCAAGATTTATTTGTTCTTAATACCCTCCCTTCACGAAGCATCAGTAGCCTGGGGACAACCCGTGACCTGTAGCCCCACGCAACCTCATGCTGAGTTTCAGGAGCCCGGGCGCATATCCCCCGCACTGATGCACTTTCGTAAAAGTTTCTCCTCCCGCCGCCTCAGGCCAACGCGCACCCTACCCGCATCGCGATTCAGAAAGAGTTCGAGTGAGATTTGCACCCTGAAAGGGGGTGGGGTGGGCTTTCAAATCAAAGCCAAGGATCCCTGGGTGGGAACGGGACTCACGTTCCAGCCCGGGAAGTGCGTACCCGGGGGCATAGAGAAGCCAAGGAGCCCGCACCGGTCTAAACCAGACTCCTACCCCGGAAGCTCGCGGACAAGGGGACAGGCGTTCGCGCGGTTGGTCCGCCCCAGGTGTGCCCCGCACCTCGACCCCTCCTGGGCACAATCCGGAGAGGGAAACTGTGTTACTGAACCGCCTCCCCGCTCTTGGAAGGGTTACTTACCGTGGGCTTTTAACCTTCAGCCTAGGGCCCTGCAGTCTTCCTTTGCACGGGCAATTGTAGCTGAAGCGGGAGAAAAAGTGAGCTCCTCCAACGAAAAAGTGAGCTCCTCCAACGCGAGCAGCGATGCTTGGCAGATCCACGCGAGGGGCTTTCTGGCCAGCACGCGCGACTCTGGACGCAGCCGCCGAGGCTCTGATGCAGCCAGCCCCCACATGCACCGAGCGCGCCGCGCAGCCCGTCCGGGCGCCTCTGCAACTGATGGGTTCGGAGCGGAGTCCCCTGGCGGCCTTCTCTGGAAAGGCAGCTACGGCGGGCAAGAGGACTCTCTAATCTCCACAAGGGCCTGAGACAATGTGCGGTCTAAGAGGTCTCTACCGCTCACCAGCATAGCTAGAAAGATGCCAGACTACAAACGATGCTTTCTTGGTTGGGCTTTGTTAACTTGTCACAAACCTAGGAAGAGGGAATCTTAACTGAGAAAAATACCTCCACAAGATAGCCTATTGATCTGTCCGGCATTTTCTTAATTAATGATTGGCGGGGGAGGGCCCAGCCCACTGTGGGAGGTGCCAATTTGGGTCAGGTAGTCCTGGGGTGTATAAGAAAGAAAGCCGAGTAAGCCCTGAGAAGCAAGCCTGTGAGCAGCAAGCCAGTTCTTCCAAGATTTCTGCTTCAGTTCCTGTTTCCAGGTAACTGCCTCAAGTTCCTGTCCTGACTTCCCTTTATGGCAGACTATGATCGGAATGCATAAGCTGCATAAACCCTTTCCTCCCCAAATTGCTTTTGTTCGTGCTGCTTTGTTACAGCAATAGAAACCCTAACTAAAGTCCATTGAAGCTTTTCCCAAGGCACCCAGAACGAGCCAAAGGAATTAACCTTCAAAATTTTCTGGCTGTTATAAAATGTCTTGGATTGTCTGACACGCCATAGAAGTTGCTTTAAATCACTGAAAAAAAAAATGCTTGGAAGTCATACCTTCCTCACAGGATGGTTCTTAAGCGTAAACCAACTATAAAAAGTACTCTTAGTACAGGGAAGGAGTTTTCCAACATGAGCTGACTTTCTGAGAAAAAAAATGAAGTGGATTTGTCTACATGCTTTTATTCTCTTACATAACATCTTTTTAAAAAATAATTTGTTTAACTTTATTTTATGTGCATTTGTATGAAGGTGTCAGATTCCCCAGGAACTGTAGTTACAGACAATTGTAAACTGCCATGTGGGTACTGGGAATTGAACTTGATTCCTCTGGAAGAGCAGCCAGTGCTCTTAACTGCTGAGCTCTTAAATAACATCTTAATGCATACAAATTGGGTAGTATCAAATGACTAGGTATAACACCTCTCTCTGTGTGTGTGTGTCTCTCTCTCTCTCTCTCTCTCTCTCTCTCTCTCACACACACACACACACACAGAAATGTGTGTTTACATTATATATAAATTATACATGTATATTATATATACTTATATGTTTTTCCACCTCCCACTCCTACTAGCCTTTCCATCACAAATGTCTCTATGTGTAATGCCTTTCTGGGCTTGTACAAATGTTTGGGGCGCTCCTGCCACAGGGCCTTAGTACTTGCTATGTACTGTGTTTAAAGTAGTCTTCTGAATTCCCAAGTCACATCATAGCTCAAAGACTACCTTTTCTCTCTAGTCTTTGCTCAGAGGCCTTCCCTTCAACCTCATTTATCCTCCCTTGTGACCGTCCCTACCCACATGCCTGCTCAAGTTTTCTCCATTAAATGAATTGCTATGAGACACACCAAATAATGCATTTTGTTCACTTCTCACATTAGTTTTCTATGGGGAAAATAAGCCAGAAACTTAAAGGCAAAAATCAATATGAGCAGAGTTAGAAAAATGGCTCACTAGCTAAGAGTACTTGCTGCTCTCCCAGAGGACTGGAATTTGGTTCTCAGCACCCACTGGTGGAAGCTCACAACTGCCCATAACTTCAGTTTCAGCAAATCAGACCCCCTTCTGACTGTCACAGGCCCCTGCATGAACATAGTACACAGAAACTCGTGAAGGCACACATACATGGACATTCACAATAAATTTTATGTTAAACAATATCATCTTGTGTGATAAAACATGGTGCAGCCAGGTTTCTCTCTCCATATGAAGGTCAGCTGTGTAGCAAACTCATTCCCATCTGTAACTGAATTCCCCTTTGCCATGCAATATGATATAGCCACAGGTTCTAAACATATACATATACCGTGTAATGGGGGGGGGCAGTATTGTGTCTATAAACACCAACTTACTTTTTTCCAGCAAAAGGAATGTAGCAAGGACTTTTGTCTGTCTTGTTCATTGCTATATGCCCAGACCATTCGGCTTAGTGAGCAGGTCCTTAACAGTGAACTGAATTCTGTCTCTTTGGATGCATCTGCCGAAGTCCTAACTCTCAAGTGGAGGTGTTTAGAAATGAGGCTTTGAAGACTGAAGGAGTCACAAGCACTGGTAAGGCTCTAATACTGGATTAGTGGCAGAGGAAGAAAGACTAAGCAGATTATGATGAAGAATAGAAAGTGGTGGAGAAGCAAAGGAGACAGAACGAGAAAGTGTTTTCTCAAAGCAAGGACACAGCAAGAAGACAGCCATCTGTGAGGCAGGAAGAGGCCCCTCACGAGGCAGCAACCTTGCTGTCTTCCAGCCCCCAGCCTCCACACTGCTGTCTCAGGATGTTTTCTCCACCACTTGGTCTGTGGTATTTTGATATGGCAGTCCAAGCAGACCAACATAACACCCAATAAATAATTGTTAAGGTAACCAGTGAAAAGTTGCCTGTAAGCATTGCAGTATCTAATCTCTACCACACACCCAAAGTGTGACAAGTATTTGCTAAGCTCTTTACGTGGAATATTTTATTTAATTTTCACAAGATATCTATCTGTATACGAGGTACTGGTGAGTGAGAACAGGTTTAAAACTGGAGGTAACATACCTGAGGTCAAGGTTTAGAAGACATCATAGACAGTCTTGGCAGTGTGATTTAAGCAATGGCTGTGACCTTCACAATTCCATGTTATTATCACAGGGCAAGGGGAAGCCCTGGATCTTGTCCTTAAGGCGCTTATAATCTAATCAGAGTGATAAGAAAATATAAAAAAACCAGCAGTACAAAAAAGACTGTGAAGGACCTTAGAATGGAAAGAAAATGACCAGAACTTTCTATGGAGTTTGGAGAGAGGAAATTGAATGGAATGGGAAGGATTGTGCAGATCCTATGGATGGGGCAATTGAGCTGATCTTAGAAATGGTTGGAGTTAAACTGAGATGGGGGAAGACAGAACAAAGTGAACTATGCTCTGGACTTAGTTGTTTGGAGAACTAGTCATGTAGCTACATAATAAGGACTGATCCCAAATGCTAGACTAAAGACCAGAGGAGAGTTCACAAGATTTGGGAACAGATAGGGAAAAGTCACCTGAAGCAACTGCTAAAAGATGATCTGAAGCTGACACCCAAAAGGTGAGAAGACAAGAGAAAAATCAATTTCTTGCTGGATAAATATTGTCAAAAGATGTTAGCTATCATTTTCAACTTTCTTTTATTTTGTATGCATGGGTGTTTTGCCTGCATGTGTGTGTGTACACCATGTGCATATAGTCCCGCAGGACAGAAAAAAATGTGTCACGTCTCCTGGGACAGTTAGGATCTTTCATGTGGATTCTGAGGATTGAATCTAAGTCCCCTGGAAGAGCAGCCAATATACTTTATCTCTGAGCCATTGCTTCAACCTCTTCTTCAACCATTTTAAAAGGGTAATTTTTGGCCCACAATTCAAGGTTTAGAGAACAAATTGATGTACCTTGGATCAGTGGTTCTCAACCTTCCAAATGCTATATAACCCTTTAATACAGTTCCTCATGTTGTGGTGAGCCTCCTAACCATTTATAGTGCTACTTCATAACTGTAATTTTGCTACTGTTATGAGTCATAATGTAAATATCTGATATGCAAGATATGTGATATGCAACCCCATGAAAGGGTCATTCAACACCTCAAAAAGGTTCTTGATCCACAGGCTGAGAACCACTGCCTTAGATGTATATGGTTTAAAAAGAGCAACTATCGGCAATGACAGTAACTAGACTATTTCTGACCTTTGAATAAGTATGTTGGCTTTTTATTGTCAACAACTTGACACAACCTAGAGTCACCTGGGGTGGGGGGAATCTCAATATTGTCTGGATCAGATTAGCCTGGAACCATGTCTATAAGAAACCATCTTGACTGATGCTTGATGCGAGAGGACACTGTCCACTGTGGGTGGTGCCATTCCTATGTAGGTGGGTCTGAGCTGTGTAAGAAAGCTATCTGAGCATGAGCCAGTAAATGAGACAGTAAACATTGTTCCTCCACAGTTTTTTCTTCAGTTCCTGATTGAATCTCTGCCTTGACTTCCTTCAGTGATGGACTGTGGTCAGGAAGTGTAAGATGAAATTAAACACTTTCTTCTCCAAGTTAATTTTCCTTATGTTATTTATCATAGCAATAGAAGACAAGCTAAAATAGCAAACACGAGTTCTATCATTTCCTTTTAATGGAGAAAGAAACTAGCTGAGATGGCAAATGGCTTGCCCAATACTACACAATGAGTAAGACAGGAACACTGTGTCCTGCCCTTATGCTTGTAATTGCTCAATGTGTCCTGACATGAGAAGAGGCCACAAATGCATTTTTGCCTCAATTTACAACTTGGCCAGCTTTCGGCTGCTTCAGAGTCCTCTCTAGGTTTGCACTGTATATAACTAAGGAATTTGATACAGGGAAAGGGCCCATGAATCTTAACTGCAAGCTCTTACAGGGAAATGAGAAGGAACATGCTCGCCTCACCTGAAATATTCCAGAGAGACAAGGTAGTATGGCAACTAAGGGGTCACCTTCGAGGGTCAGAGACCCAGAGTTATGAGCCAATCCTGCCTGAATCTCAGCGAGCTGAGATTGTAAACTGTGATGATAACATAGGTGGCTGTATAGATTTACTGAAGATGCACATAACATGCTCAGCAATGGCCTGTCACCTGGCAAGCGCTCAGGAAATGCCACCAGCTCCTCTCAGCAGAGTTCTCACACGTCCACATGCAGTCCTTCACATGTTCCAGGCACACTGAATCCAGACGTTTCACTATCCCTTGAGATGCCCACTTCTGCAACTGACAACAAAAAGAGAGCATTTTCAA